ATTAAAGTTTTTTCAGAGGCAAAATTAGCATCTTAAAATATTTAAAGGTGTAATTTTGCTTTGACATTTTTCAAATTAATACAGTTTTACCTTGAGTTGACACTTTGACCATTTGACTATTTATTTTGACCTTTTGACTATTAAATGCTTTGTTGGCAAGCCACTTGGAGTCTCTGTCAAAGTGAATTTTTTTAGGATGAACAAACAAAATCTTTCCTTCCTTCCTTTGACTATCATCATTTTCGTCCAACAAAATCTAGCCAAAATGCAAAATGCAAACACAAAATGAACCAAAAAAATCAAAAATGAACAAAATGAAAACCAAGAATAAATAAATAAAATCAACCTATCAAACAAACAAACCAAAATGCAAACAAGAAATGAACGAACAAATCAAAATTTTCATATCATCATCACCGTGGTGAAGCCCGGGGGGCCATAGATCTAAAATTAGATTTGAAGTAGACTCAATTTGAAGTTTGAGAGATGAAGCATAGAGATCTAGAAATCAATACATGGAAGTTGGAAAAATAATCGCATTACCAAGAATTAAAGATGGGGTTCAAAGGTAGACGGTGACACAATAAAAAAAAAACCATTGTACTAGGAATCCATGGATTTCACTTGGTATCCGAATCTCCTACCCATTTCTTCCTTTATTTTTCTCTTTAATTTCTGCCCTCTCTTAACTTTATCAACTTGTGCGAACTCAAACACCATCTTCTTGTGATAGTTCGACCGACAATGGGTTTTGGGCAAACTAGATTCTTGTGAAATTTTTATATTTGAAATATATAAAGTCTTGGAGATTCTGCATTTGAACAACAATGTCTTGAACCAAATTCTTGAAGAATCCATAAAATCTATTTTTATTCTCTTCAGATCTGAACAACTTTGAACAATAATTTTAATCCAAATTAGAATCTTTGAAAATTTTAGAAGAAGTTAACCTAGAAGCTTGAGTGAAAATTGCACAAATCTTGTGAAATTTAAGAACATATGGTTAATTCTTGAAGTTTTTGATATACCTATGTGGATCTAAACTCTTTCATTTACCTCATCCGTAACGATGCTGATGGCAAGTTTGAGGAGGCCTCTGGGTTGTGCGAGTTTAGGTTCCATTTTTACTTCCTTGCCTAGACTTGTCTCTTATTTTTCCTTGTAGTCAGTAGAATCGCATGAATGGTGAACCTGGAGCATGATAGCCTAAGAAGGAATAAGAAGAAAAAGGATGATGCGCATGAACCTTTGGAATAGACGAGGAAGAACGGGCATGTGTGGTGTGAGGTGGGATAAGGAGGAAGAAGAAGTGATGTGGCAACTGATGTGGCTTGGCAGATTTAAATTTCATAGTCAAAAAGCTAATATTAACGGTCAACCTAATAATTCTATCACAATAGGGTAAGTTTGTACTGTTTTAAAAAATGTCAAGGGAAAATTATGACTTTAAATATTTTAAAATACTAATTACGCTTCGGGAAAAACTTAACGGATAGATTTATACTTTAATCCCAAATTATAATAGCATTTTTTGAGATATCATGTTTTAAAATATAGGCATTTTAATATTTTATAGGAGTAATTAATGAGGATTTTTTTAAATGCACTTAATAAATAGTTAAAAATTAAAAAAAATTATATTTGTTTTTTATTATAATTACCCAATTAAAAAGGGGTTGATATACAAAAAGAGATATTTTTTTAATGATATTAACTCTTTTCTTGAGTGTGGAAGTTAGTTAAAAATGCCATATAATTTTGAATGAAGTATAATATTATTGTGATGGATTTAAATATTGTCAAGCCAAATTAAAGGCAACTCTTCTAAAAACAATTAATTTTACATTTACACAACTCGAGCATGAGATCTTATATTTAAGCAGTGATAATTTAAAACCATTTCTACCATGACCAACACTTGTTGATATATAATGATATATTGTAATGATATTTTTATCACAAAGAAAATATAGAAATAAATTTGAATTAAATACATGTAATAAGTTCAATCTATTAAATATTCACAAAGCCAAGAGATTTATAAATTTTATTGGCAAAAAATAGTTGATCAAATTAGGACAAGTTGTCACTAGATTTGACACACTAAGACCAAGAATTGATATATTTTTCATAAATTAAAGTGTTACCGAGACTTGATATAGTTAGTAATTTTTGATGGATTGAATGATTAGGATACCAAAGTTTGATCTTTTATTTCTTAAGTCATAATATCATGTTAATTATGATTTTAACTGAAAAAATTATATGCAGTGGCCGTGCATGAGGATATTAATTATATTTTTCTAATATTAGTCATATTTAAATTTATTAACTATGAGAGATAATATAGTACAAATTTAAACTTTTTCATTTAAATAATGATAAAATTGGAAGTTTATTTTTTTTAGACAAAATTAATGACTTAGCTACTTCTTCTTGATTCAAGTGAGGTGATTAGATATGTCTTATAGTAGAAACGTAAGGAAATAATAAGGGAGAATGACAAATAAGGATCCTTAAAATATATCAAGGACATTTTACAATACAACAGAAACATCAAGAAAATGAAGGCAAATTTAATTTCAATCAAATTGGTTGAAGGAAAATCTTCAATCAAAATTGACTTGTGTATAATTGTAGGAAAGTTTTTATAATTTTTCATAATTTAAAATTAAGTTCTTATAATTCATTTTATTTTCAAGTTCTTGTAGTTTGATCTATTAAATTTTTTAATCTCTCAAGATTAAAATCTTTAAATTTTTTCTTTAAAAGTAAAAATTAAAAATTTTTATATTTTATTAAAAGATTATATAAATTTAGAATTAATTACATAATTTTTATAACAAAATTTATATAAGGAGGTTGTCTTCTAAATATTTTTATAATATATAATCTTAATTAAAATATAAATAATGTATTAAATCAAATTTTTTTCATTTTTGGCCAAAAATATTAGATCAAATTTTATATAAATTTTAAAATAATTTTTATTCTTGGAAAATCAATAATTCAATATTAATTTTAAATTTCAAGGATTAACATATCTAACAAATCAAATTAGAAGGTCTTGATTAAAATAAAATAAACTATAGACACCTAATTTAGAATTGAACAAAACTATAAGGATGTGTATATTAATTTTCTCGTAATTGTATAAAAAACCCAAATGCATTATTATTCACAACAATATATGTGATTGACTCGCTATATCAATAACTAAGATTGTTAAACTCAAGAGTTTAAATAAATTCGTGATAGATATGTAAATTTGAAATGTAAATTCAGATTGTAAATTTATACAAGTTCACTTTTATTAATAAATAGCCTTTAAAAGTATGTAATTAAATAATTAAAATATAAAACATGATCATAATTTAATTTAAATATATTTTAAATATAAATTATTTAAATTAAATCTATCTATGTTTATAAATTATTATACTCAATATAAAAATTTCAAAATATGGCAACTTATTTTTGGTATTTTTTCTTTTTTTATTAATATTAATATTTTTTTAAGTTTTATTTTTCATTGAATCAAACTCTACCGCTTCTATAAATCAAGTTCTACATAATATATACCTATTTTGTTTGATAAGTTTATGAGTGAATTACCATAATTTTATAAGCTAAAAAACATAAAAATGGTTAACTCGAAGAGTCAACTCATGAGTTTAACCAAATTTTATCTAATCTAAATTTATGAGCTAGTTAATATAATTTTGCAAACTAAAAACATAAAAACAATAATCTCGTAAATAAACTTAAGAGTTTGACAATAATGTCAATGACCATATAAAATTATATATTAATTTAAACCTTGGCCCTATCATATTCTGAAAGAGAGTAATAGAAGGGGATGGCTCGTATCAACAGAAGTTGGGTCTAACAAAATAAGTTAATCTCTTACAATAATGTGGCGAATTAAAATTTAAATTTCTATTAGAAAAGATATCCATATTTAATATATGATTGTATTTTAAATATAATTACTTTTAATAAAAAAGTACCGGTGACTCAGTGAGCAATTAAAAAAAAAAAAGATGGCTCATGATTTTTTATGGTTCATTTTAATTTACTTCGAGCTAATTAACTATATCAGTATTCAATTAAATTTATGAAAGGGAAGCATGCTTAATATTTTCTCAACTAACTGCTCATAAATTATGTCATTATACTAATTTCCTACACAATAGGGACCCTGTATTCATTGCTCGAAGGGTATATTTTCAACGCCAAAGGAGTGCCTGTTATAATTCTATTTATGAGTGTAACATACAAATTTGAGAGAATGACAAATAAGCACCCCATAAAAATATTAATATTAAATTAAAATTTCTCCAACACTAACACTATTAAATTTTTTCTCATATTTCAATACTAAATGTCTTAATTTGACATTAATTTTTCTACAAGGCCCTTACATTCTCCCTACAACTCCCTTGATTTAGAAGTAAATGATGAACCATGGACACGTGTAATGTGCGATTTAAATTTTCCCCTGAAGCAGCTTCTGTTTTAAATCAGTTGCTCGATCTATTTATTCCTCAAACTCTAGACAATGCGCAGTAGCCCACATAACTAAATGCATTAAATGCGATTTTAATTTCTTCATTTTATACTTACTTTCTTTAATTCTATTTATAGATCATTTTTAATATATTTTATCAGTTAAAAAAACAATCATAAATTTTATTAACCTTATCTTAAAATTTAATAAGTTTGATCTACCTTTACCCTTAATAAAAAAAGAATTATTTTTAATAATTTTTTCTAATATTTAAAAGGATAGAAATGTAATGAACATAAAAAATAATGAAATGTCATGTAAATAAGATCAAAATTAATTTAATATCTGCCCTGGAGTAAAATTATAAAACCAATATGGTCAACGCAGAATACTACATTAACTGCACCCATGCGTGAACAAGGAACCGCCAAAGGCACTTATATATGTAAGGCGATTAGTTCAGAACTTGAAGCATTCTATACATCTCCTCTTCTTCTTCCTAAGCAAAAACACACAGACGAAGAAATTATTATACAGAAGCTCATGATGAGTTGCTTTCTGAAACCCGACCACCATGGGTCCTCAAGACGAGGGCAAATTGTGAGCCTGGAAATGGAAGAGAGAACAGAGATAGCAGTAGCAGAAGAAGAAGAAGGTATCTGGCTGACATGGGAGGATCTGAGCGTGACAGTGTCAAATGGAAAAGACAAGTCGAAGCCAATCCTTCAAGGCCTCACTGGTTATGCCAAGCCAGGACAGCTCTTAGCCATAATGGGTCCTTCTGGTTGTGGCAAATCCACCTTCCTTGATGCCTTAGCAGGTATGCTCATTCCAAGTTACTAGGATCAGCATCAAGTGCTCAAAATGGATCCGGTAAAAGCACTAATTCAAAAACTAATGATCAAAACTTGTTATAAACAAAGTATTTTATTAAACCAATCAAGATGTTAGTTTAACGATTTACCATTTTAATTGGGATGATTAACCTGGATTTTCATGCTATGTTGGTCATTAAATTGAATCTATCAATGTACTAGTTTGAGGTCTAATGGTAAGGATTGTATATAGTAAAACCATAATCAAACCGGTCATGAATAAAGTATTTTATTAAATCAGTTAAAACATTAATTTAATAGTTTATCGACTCAATTAATCAAGTTGGCCCAATTCTCAATAGTATCATTCATTACATATAACTTCCTACACCGCTTGCAATAATTGCTCCACTTGCATATTAATTTTTGGGGTCATTTGGTTGTTTAGATATAATTATTTGGACCTTTCCATTTCAAACTAAAAAACATAAAACAGTTTTAAATGAACCAAAACTAATGGGTTTCTAAGTACACATAGACTCTAATTTTATGTTACATCCTCGCATGGAAGCGATAATGCTTGAGAGACTATTTGGATCTTGATCTCTTATTGCAAATAAATTGTAGTTCTTTTTTTTTAATGTAATTTAAACCTAATAATATGTAGATGATGGATATTTTATAGTAAGCTGTCAAAATTTTAACTCGATAATCTAATTAAATAACCCTTGCCCATCTCTGAAAAATACATATGAGGGGATTTCATAGCTAGGCATCTACGCCTCTCTCTAGTTCTTGGTTTGATCCAATCTCTTTCATTTGTTGTATTCTAATTAGTTCTAAGAAATTATATTTCTTCTTTTTGTGTTATTTAAACATAACTATCAAGTAGATAATTCTATATCCATTTTAAGGATGGAAGAGAAGTAGATATGGATATATAGCTGCACACAATTTACTCTCTGTTTTTTTTCTAAAAAAAAATTGGATCCTTTCCATATTAATTCTCTCTTAATACCTCTCTTTATACTTAATTTCATTCATCCGTTTAATTATTGATTTGATTTAATGGTGTAAAGATGGTTTATTAAGGCATTAAATTAAATATATTATTCATTTAATTAATTACTATCATAAAGAAGCATGAAGATCTCTTTTTTAAAAATATTGAAGTAACGATAATAAATAAATGACCATTAAATCAAATGAATGATTAAATTGATAGATAAGATAAGATCGGATATGAAGATATGTATTAGAAAAGAATATCAAGAAAATCCAAATCCATTTCTTTTGAAGCAGTAAAACATGCAACTCCACACAGTAAATATTATGTAAATTGAATTTATAAACTCACAATTAATCAATATTAAATTTGGGCATTTTCATAAAAGCGAAGTATGATTTAGGGAAGTCTACAAAGAAGATCTAGAAAATATATAGATATAATATAAAATTAAACTTTATTTAAAAATAAAAAAACATAATTTTAAATCTTTATACTTTGCTCGCGTTTTGCTATAAATTTTTGTACTTTTTTTGTATGCTCTAAGTTCCTACATTTTTATTTTTTCAGTGTCTTGAGTCCTCTCTAAAGTCCTTACACTTTAAGGACTTAAAACATCAAAAAACAAATGTAAGAATTTATAGCAAAACATAAACAAAGTGTAGGGACTCAAAGTTATGTTTTAAAAATATTTATTTTTAAGTGACTTATATATGCATAATTAAAATTAGTTTAATTTAATTTATTCTTAATTATTATTGATTGTTAGTACAAGTTAGAATTTTCCTTGACTGGAATTAGCCATATTTTGCACATCTGATTTGAGGTCTGTAAGCCTTGTCTTGTCATTAGGGTGGACAAAATCAAATCGAATTAAATTTTATCTATTTGATTTAGTCTATTTAGTTTTTCAATTCGATTTGATTTTCTTTTAAGAAAAATTTTGGTTGATTGATTTGATTTGGTCTGAGAATTTTAGAATCAAAAAACCAAATCGGCCGAATTATCAATATTTTTCTTTTCATATTTTTAAAAATATGAATAAATTCTCATATAGGTGAGTAAGAAACATCTTTCTATTACTTATAGTAGTAGTATTTTTTTTTGTTCAACGTGATGTTTTAATTTTTTATTTCTATAATTTAGTTTTTAGTGCAATAGTACTGAATTTTATTAATTTTTTTATAAATTATGATATAAGATTGCTATTTTTTTTGTTGGGCCTTCAACATCAAGGGAAAAAATTGGATAGAAGAATATATGAACAATTAAACTTCATATACCCAAATAAAACCCATGAATTGAATAGATTGATTGAATCAAATCATTAAAATTTGGTTTAGTTATGTATTTTGATTTGATTTGATTCAAATTTTTTATATAATTTGGTCAATTGGTTTTAGAGAAATTGAGACTAAACCAATCGAATGCTCACCCCTACTTGTTATGTTGACCCTTGATCCATTCTTCCATATATAAAATGTCAAATGTTGTGATGTTGTCAACTAGAACATTTGTTTGGAAATTAGTGAGTTCCTCAAGTTAGTAAAAATAATGGATGAAAATATTTTTTTTATTATGTACATGTGAATTTTTATAGTTCAATAATTTGAGTTATAAAGTTCACATGAATTTTTATTTTTGGCCAAAATAAAGTTCACATGATTTATAAATTTAGCTGATATTATATTGAAAAAGTGTTTTAATGAAATTTACAATTAATCTTTAAAGTTTAAAACTTAGCTGTTCTGTAATTGCAACTCATCTATCAAAATATCCAATTGGGTAATTAGTTGTATTTGAGGGAGGGCAATTTCATCTATTACACTTTTTTCATTTGACATTAAAAAATGTTTGATAATTCATGTCTGTGAGTAAGTTTACAGGAGATATATATAATTAAAAAATAAAATCAAATATATAAATAAAATTCAAGTTCAACGTGGATCAATTCCAAACTACTTCTTTTATTCTCCTTAGGAAGAATTACATCCAAAGACATTTTAAGAAATTTATTCATAAACAAGGATTTATATAAAATTATTTGTTGTTCAAATAGTAATGGAAACTTTTTTTCCTTGAATGGCGACATGTTATTTATTTTTATTTGTGAATAATTTTTTTGAGAGATTTTTAAATATAATTCTTCCTTCTCCTTATCCCATCCCATCCATGTTTTTTGGATTAAAAATTCATGGATTGAAATTTGGTTAAATTTATTTATTTAATTTAATTATAGTCTATAGTTGTGATCTGTGTAGATAAGATTTTAACTATATATATATATATATATGATTTATTATAATAATTTTATAAAATATAAATTCTTAGCTGTTTAATTTTTAATCTAGTGGTGAGAATGAAATAAGAAGATGAAAATGAGAGTTATATTATCTCAATTAGAGATCTTGAATTTGAATCTTAAAAACACAATAGTTTAATGGTAGAGCTTACCTGATTTTATCTAAACAAATCCTAGATGCTTTATTGCCAAAAAGAAAGGAGAGAGGAGAATGAGAGAATGGAAATCAACAATAAAAGCAAAACATGACTTATGATGATTGAATCTAGTAAAAGAGAAATTTGTTTGATGAATTGAGATCCAGATTTTGAACTTTTAGTGTACAACAACATCATGGAGTGTTCACCTTATAAACGTCTTAATTGACCCGATTTCGTCTTGATCATATTGGGACAAGTCTTATCCCAACTCGAAAATAATTGAGACAAGACTTTGCAAACCAGGATAAGAAAGGAATTTGGGATAGAACGAGACACGGGATTACCATCATATATATTATTTTTTTATTTTAAAAATGTATAGTAAATATATTAATTTTGTCAATTACAAGTTCAATATGTACAATTTTTATTTAAAACTAAAAGTTTTTTATATTGATAATTTTAATGATATATGATAAATAGGGCAATATCTTTCTTTATAATATATTAATTATATTAATATAATTTATTCTTATATCCATTTATTTAATAACATTTATTTATATAATATATTTTACTTTATTTTTAAAAGAGTAATTAGCTTAGTATATATCAACTAAAGTAAAATAATAATGATTTAATATTGTGCTTCGCTTATTTGTTGTTGATGCTCTTGTAGCTTAAGATTACTTATAATTATTATCATAATGTGTTATATATTTGTAGTTATGATTGATGCAGTTTAATAATTGATTTTAAATTATTGTGATTTATATACTTGTGTTATTTTGATTTTAAACTTAATAAATCATATGATTTAAATTTTAATGGATGTTATTATCCATATTTTTTTTCAACATTATTCGATTTATTAAGATGATAAGATATCCCAATCTTGTCCCAATCTAGTCTTGATTCCTAACTTGACGGGATGACTTTCATAATGGGACATGACATAAGATAAAAATCCAATCCTAATCTTTTTTTTGGATATAAGACACAAGACAAAAGTGTTTCAGTTTCATTCCGTCTCGTGAACATTCCTAAACAGCATAGCTAACCCCCCCTAAAGAAAAAAAAACATGATAACAATGCTAGAATCCCAAATCATGAGACAGAGTGGAACAACAATTAACACCCTCATTGATCAATTGCACGTTCCTCCGCTATAGATCAATAGTGAACACTCTCAAACTCTACAGCTAGGTTGTATATATATGAGTATAAATATTCAATATAGTATAACATGATAGGTATAAAAATATTTATAATACAACAACAACAACAACAAGCCTTTATCCCACTAGGTGGGGTCGACTACATGAATTGCAAGACGCCATTGTGCTCGATCATTTATCAAGCTTTTAGAATATTATTAATTAAGAGATTGCGTTCAACAACTTCTAAAAGTGTTCTCTTAGGCCTTCCTCTACCTCTCTTAATCGGACTCAAAGTTATATGTTCCACTCTTCTCACTAGTGCCTCTCTTGGTCTTCTTTGTACATGCCCAAACCATCTCAACCGATTTTCTACCATTTTTTCTCAATAGGTGCTACCCTCACTTTTTCGCGTATGTGCTCATTTGAATTTTATCTTTACATGTATGTCTGCACATCCATCATAACATTCTCATCTCTGCTACTCCAACTTTATGCTCTTGTTGTCCCGTTAGAGCCCAGCATTCACTACTATATAACATTACCGGTCTGATAGCAGTGCGATAAAACTTTCTTTTAAGTTTATTAGGTACCTTACGGTCGCAAATAACTCCTTTAGCTTTTCTCCAATTAAACCACCCCGCTTGAATCCTATGTGAAATATTTTCACTGATTTCGCCATCATTTTGAATAATAGCTCCCAAATATCTAAACTTTTTCACTTGAGGTATAATTTGATCTCCCAATTTTACTTTCAAATTATTGTCAAATAGTCTCTTACTAAATTTACAATATAAATATTCTATCTTACTCCTATTCAAACGAAAATCTTTCGACTCCAATGTCCTCCTCCATAACTCAAGTTTGCAATTAACCTCTTCTCTTGTCTCTACTATAAGAACTATATCATCTGCAAAGAGCATACATTTGAGAATTTCTCCTTGAATATGTTCCGTCAAAACATTTAGGATCAAGTTGAACAGATAAGGACTCAGAGATGATCCTTGATGAAGTCCAATCTTTATAGGAAAATCTTTTTGTTTGACCACTAGGCGTTCTTATACTAGTTTTTATCCCCTCATACATATCTTGTATGGCTTTAATATAAACAATCTGTACTCCCTTATTTTCCAACGCTTTCAAAGCACTTCTCTTGGTATACGGTCATAAGCTTTTTTCAAATCAATAAAAACCATGTGTAAATCTTTATTTTTACAACGATACTTTTTCATTAATCCCCTTAATAGATAAATCGCTTCTGTAGTTGATCTACCTGGCATAAAACCAAACAGATTCTCAAAAATACTTGTTTCCAATCTCAATCTATGCTCAATTACTTTCTCCCACAATTTTATGGTGTGGCTCATGAGTTTAATCCCTCTATAGTTAGTACAATTCTGAATATCTCCTTTATTTTTTAATATAATAAAAAAATAAATAAAAATATTTATAATATATATTTTAATATGTTATAATATAAATATATGTATTTTGATTTTTTAAATAAAAATTTTAAAATAATATAAAAATATTTATAACAATCAATTAAAATATTAAGTATTTTTTTTAAATTTTAAAATGATATAGTAAAAAATTATTAAAAAAATATTATATTACAAATGTTATAACTCGAGACAATATCGTATCCGATGGGTATCAGATGCGGATACGTCTATTCTTTTTAAGTATCCGTGCTTTGTAGCTCTGGAATAAGCTCGGGGCTGTAGAGTCTTGAATGCTGGATTGGGCATGGATCCTGGATAGGGCATGTCTCTTTCCTTCAAGATTTAAATGTTGTTACTTTTGTTACCCCCTACTTTTTGTAGTGAAAATCTTGTGCTGTTACTTCTTCTGCCGGAGGATGAATTTGTCCGCCCGTCGACGAACATCGAATTCCTTTCTTCCGTTTCTGACTCCGCAGACGGTCCAATGTCGTGGCTTGGTTTTGTTCGGCAGCGGACAAGATTTGATGTGGCTTTGTCCGCCTCTGGATAATGACAGAAGCTTCCTTTCTTTTAGGATTTTCTTCATCCGCGGGCGAATGAATTGTCTGTTGATTTCATCCGCCTCGGATACTGACAGAGGTGGCGGACACTGACAAAGAGCATCTCCTTTTCGTTCCTATGCCGATCGGCGTCGGATCAAATTCTGTTTACTTCATCCGCAAACGGATGAAATCTGGGCCTCGTTTTCTGGTCTATGGGCCCGTGAGTTGGTGAGGACCGAGGACTTCCCATTTAGGCCGAATTCTTTCTTTATTTGCTTGAAAATCCAAGCAGAAGCACAGAATACTAAAACATGTGAAAGTATGCCAATGATCTAATCATAATTTTTCCATAATTAGTGAGAATTTGGCTAAAGAATTCTCATTTAATTAAGAATAATTTGGGCTTATCATTTATGACTTGTAAATAGTGCAGCTTCATGTAGATTTTATATCATATATGGAAATAGGATAGATTTTGTTTTCAAAATTGTGTATGCTACAGACAGGAAAATCCAACATATACATTACATCATAAAATATCATAATGCAGGGAGGTTGTGTGCAAAGGCAAAGCAGACAGGAGATATCCTTATCAATGGCCACAAAAAAGCACTAGCCTATGGAACATCAGTATGAAAAAATACCCTTTACTTCTTTTAATTAAGTAAAATAACAATATGCCAAGTTAGATTAGTTGTTTAGTTGTAATCTTTCAAAAACAATAAATATATTCTGAAAATAATAGAGCCATTGCATGCAAGTCAGATCAACTGACATACAAAAGAGTCTCTCTTTCAGGCATATCTGACGCAAGACGATTCAATATTGACGACCCTTACGGTGGGAGAAGCAGTGCACTACTCAGCTCAGCTGCAACTTCCGGATTCAATGACGAAGTCAGAGAAGAAGGAGAGAGCGGACTTCTCAATCAGGGAAATGGGTCTGCAAGACGTCATTAACACAAGGATTGGAGGGTGTGGAGGTTCTAAAGGAATCAGTGGAGGCCAAAAGAGGAGGGTTAGCATGTGCATTGAGATTCTCACACGCCCTAGCCTTTTATTCCTTGATGAACCAACCAGTGGCCTTGATAGTGCAGCTTCTTACTACGTCATGAGTAGAATTGCAAGCTTGAATGAGAAGGATGGAGTTCAGAGGACTATTATTGCAGCAATACATCAGCCGAGTAGTGAGGTTTTCCAGCTTTTTCACGACCTTTGTCTTCTGTCTTCTGGTCAAGCAGTGTACTTTGGCCCCGCTTCTGCTGCTAATGAGGTTGGATTTTTCTTTCAGGGAAATTTTCAGTTTTAGGAAGTGTTCATATGTTATCTGATTCTTGAGCTTGAATCCCAAAATCATTTAGTCTTTTGTCTGTTTACAGTTTTTTGCATCAAATGGTTTTCCCTGCCCAACTCTCAGGAACCCCTCTGATCATTTTGTAAAGACCATCAACAATGATTTTGAGATGGTAAATATAGTTTGTAATATTCTCGTTCTTTTTATTTTTCTTTCTTTCTTTGGCATTACAGTTCAGGAGGTCTTTGGAACCTATCTGTTCCAAAGGTAATGTGCTTCCACAGAGAAAGTGATCATTCCAGATTCATCCTTTAACAGTTAAAACATTATTAATTTTTTGTATTACTTGATCTAGCATGAGCTTGAGGATTCTCTCTTGTTGCAGTAGAAATCTGCAGAAAAAGAAAGAAAAGTAGATTGAGACTAGGACCTATATGACAGATTTTGAAGGGTTTTTCTACATTTTGATACTCGTTGCATTTCCATCAATTTACTTAGCTTTGAGCAACTGATATGCATTGAAATGTGACTAAAGTGTCCTTTTATTCCCAGGAGGACCCTGAGCAAGGATTATCAGAAGGACTAACCACAGAAGAAACAGTTAATATTCTTGTGAAATCATACGAGTCATCTGCAATCAGTCACCAAGTTCAAACAGAAGTAGTTAAAATAAGATCAAGGGTAAGTGCACTTTTATCTTCACAGTGTGAACCCCAAAACATGTGATAGACATTTAAAAGATGTACTCATATATGTTGTTATGATCAATCACCAACAAAAGAACTCCAATGACCTAGCCTAATGCCTGCAGAATTCTGGTGCAATGGAGCTGAAAAGGCATGCTTCATTCCTCAAGCAGTGCATCATTCTTACAAGAAGATCATTTGTGAATATGTATCGCGACGTAGGCTACTACTGGTTACGTCTACTTGTCCATGGTGGATTGGCTATAACTCTAGGCACTATCTTCTACAATATAGGCTCAAGCGAATCAGTTCAGGTAATAAAAGATATATATATATATATAGAGAGAGAGAGAGAGAGAGAGAGTGATGAAGAGTATGGATGGATTTAGACAAGTTGGAGTTCTGGATAATGTATCTATAGTTGCAACTAGAGACAAATTTAAAACCTAATCCTTTGATGGTTTCAGATAAGAGGCTCACTGCTCATGTTTGTGGCCACATTCCTGAGTTTCATAACCATTTGTGGATTCTCTTCCCTTGTGGTTGACATGAAGGTACAAACATATATATAAATATATATATGATCTTCCCATTCACATTGGCATAATTTATTTTCCCCACCATGAAGGAAATTTATTTGTTTCAGCTTTCTTTAAGTGCAAGCAACTTCTCTGTTTGGATTGAAATAAAGCTCTTGTATATATATCTCAAGTCTGTCAATACTGATAATTTTTAGGTGTTTGAAAGAGAGAGACTAAATGGGCATTATGGTGTTGCTGCATACACCATTGGACACACATTCTCTTGTATTCCGTTCTTGTTATTGATGTCACTGATTCCAGGAGCAATAGTTTATTACCTAACCGGACTTCATCAAGGTGGTCAACATTTTCTGTACTTCGCTTCTGTGCTTTTCATCTCAGTCATGCTGGTTGAGAGCTTCATGATGATTGTTGCAAGCATGCTTCCAAACTTCTTGATGGGGATGATCGCTGGAGCTGGAGTTCTGGGAGTAATGATGTTAAATGGCGGATTCTATCGCCTTCCTTCAGAACTTCCAAGGTTCTTATGGAGGTATCCTTGTTACTACATTTCCATTCACAGGTATGCTTACCATGGATTGTTCAAGAACGAGTTTGAGGGCCTGACATTTAGTATCAGTGAAGAGGGGAGGCCTAGGATCATTAGTGGGGAAGAAATGCTGAGAAATTCTTGGCAGATCGACGTTGAGAACTCAAAGTGGATCGATCTTTTAATCCTGGTAGGAATGGCAATTCTGTACAGAAGTCTGTTTATAGTTATCGTCAAGAGCATTGAGAAGGTGAAGCCTATAGTTGCAGCCTTCAACTTCAAGTGAGTGGTGTGAATATTCTATATGAGATTTAGAGCGCGTGCGCGCGCATATATATAGGATAAATGAATCAAGGAAATTATGAAACAAGCCAAACTGTGAATGACTTTGAAGAAAATTACAATTAACTACAGAAGCTTAATCATGTCTATAACTAAGGACTTGAACAAGATAGAGTTTACTCCTCTTGAAGTTGGTTTTAGTAGGTATTCTTCTACTTTTGTATCTCTTTAAGAAATATTTTTTCATAAATTTGTGAATTTGCTTGCTTTAACTTTAGTTTCTTTTTTGTTTTTCATTTTCAGTTCTCTCTTACTATTTCATTTTATTTGGGTGTTTGGTTTGACCTTGAAAACCATCAAAATTAGTTTCCAACATGAAATAAAGTATGTCTATGTTGTGGAATGTCTATTTGTTGTTGAATAATGTATGGGACCAAAATTTGTGACAAAAGCCTTCACAAAGTGGGAATAAATGCAAGGCTTTGTATTGGATATTTCCAAATTTAGCATGAAAGTCAATTAATAAAATAAAAGTATCTATTCAGTATACTTTTGTATAACTAAAATGTGAGTCTTTGTATTTAATAATTAATCTAAGCCAAATTATGCTATTTATAGCTAATGAACCTTTCTGAAGAAATATTTTTCTGACAACTAATGCCTATTTTTTAATTACTTCTAATTAACATACATGTTTTTGGTAACAAAATATATATTTATTTTGATATTATTATAAATTTTTCACTTTTTATTGTTATGCCTCTCTATTTTCTAATTTTAATAAATTTATTGGTATATTAACTTAGAAACCATTAAAATCATCTTTAAAAAATTATTAAAATGCATATTAAATACATAATCTTCTTTTTTTGGGTAAAAATACATAATCTATTTCACTCCTTATAATTTTTTAGAGCATTGTTCTTAGTATTCACATATTAAGAGTATGAATCCATTTTGGAATAAAATATGTACCCAAAAAAATAGAGAAGCAATTATAGTTTATTAGGGATTACATGCAATAATACCATTAGCAGCGCAACATATCAATCCTAGATCATGTTATTATAAAATATATTTTATTAAAATAAAACTCGGATTGACACTCGTAACATGCTGCTCTGTTAAGAAAAAGAGGATGATATTTCTAAAATATTGTTAAATACCTCAAAAAATTATAAATATATAAGACAAAAACTAACTCATGGGCCAAGGACTTGGCCCATGGGCTCATGATAAATTATAACAAATCCAAAAGGCGGGCTTTGCAGCATATTGTAAAATCCAAACTCGGATCATCATTGAATGAATGAATGGTCTAATAAATTTTACTACAAAAAAAAGGTCTAAATTTAATGTTATTTTACTTTTCAATTTTCATTTTTTTATTTTAATAGATACTAAATATAAATAAATATAATCTTCTAATTGTTGTTTTACAAAAATTTAAGGGGGAATAGCACTAAGGGCCCTAAAAAGCAAGAATTTTGCAGATAAGACCTAATAGATTCTGAAATTATTTCGAGGGTCTAAGGGCTTCATTTGTAATTATGTTTTTTAGTGAAATAACCAATTTGTCCCTCCTATAACCAGCTGAACGAAAATTTCTTCTTCTTCCTCTGTTCTTCCTTCCTCTTCCTTCTCTCTCTCTCTCTTTCTCATTTCACTAGTCATTGCTCTATCGTCGTTGATCATTACATAGATGAGTGTAGAAGTCGTGGGTGTTGATAGATGAAGCACAGTTTATGATTTTCCTTCTCTTTCCTCGCACATCGCCAGCCATTACTGATCTTCTTCGTCTTCCTATTCGAGCAATATCATCTATTTCTTGAAGTTTCTATCATTATTGTTTAAAGGTAAGGATCTTCAATTTTGTTTCTCCCTCATTGATTCGATGCATGTGTGTCTTTTAGTTGTTGAAGTTGTAATAGATCTCTCGTGTGAAGCATATATTTTAAGCCTGTGAGTTTACTTGTGCACAGATTTTGTGATTCTACTGCTGATCTAAGCAAAAATTTGCTGAATCATTTTGGTCCTGAAAGTTTTAGAGGGGATTAGTTGTTGTGCAATAATGATAGTTGACTTATTCATATTGGACTTTTACATGTGAACTGAATAAAATGTGATCTAATATGAAAAAAAATCTCTTATCAGAAATGTTGGAGTATTTGTTGTGTAAAAATGAACCTTGAGCTGTTATGCATTTTATTAAGCATAACCTAATAATAAATTGAACTTACATGACATTCAAGTAAGAATATATGAACCTTGTGTTGTGCATAGTAAATGTTGTGTTGCGCACTATTTTTCTAACTTGAGCATTTTGTTAAGTTTAGCCTACTGATAAAATAAAATCGTATGGATTTTCAGTTGAGAATATATAAATCTTATGTTGTGCATAGTGGATATTGTTATACATTGTTTGCCTACTTGTGCATTTTGTTAAGCCTAACCTACTAATATAAGCTAAAGGTTGCTAAACCATTAAGTTAATTGTGAAAGTTTTAGAATGGATTAATTGTTGTACAATAGTGATGGTTGACTTGTTCATATTGGACTTTGATATGTGAATTGAATAAAATATAGCTCCCAATGTGAAGAAAATATGCTGTCAAAGATGTTGGAATATCTATTGTGCAAAAATGAACTTTGAGTTGCTTATATTTAACTTTCAGTTGTGTAAAATAAAAGTTGGGCTAGATATAATAAAAGTTGTGGACATTTACCTAGATTAACTTATTTATTGCAGATTAAAATAAAAGAAGATTTATCATTGTTCAATATGTGGGGAGGCTGGACATAATGGCAAGACATGCAAGAATCCTAACACAGCATGAGAAATAGTCACATTGTTCCTTTTTGATGTATATAGGCAACTATAATTATGTATATGGAAGCATTTCCAAGTAATATTTTTTGGATAATTGAGAATCACAAATATTTTTCGTTTGTATATAGAGAAGCAACTGTTAGATATTTTGAATATAGTAGCTAGCTTTTTCTACATATCAGACTGAAAATATCATGTTAAAATTTAATGTGGGTACTTGTTTTAGTACCTAGGCCAGTACCAACATGAAATTCTACATATATGATGTAATTATCCTTCTTAATATTGAAAATGCATGGATTTTTTGTTGAGCATGTGTGGACATCATCTTGTACATAATGAATATTGTGTCGTGCATGATCTGCCTAATTTATCATTTCTATTAAGCCTTGGCTTGTGAAATATTGAAAATGCATAGACTTTCTGTTGAGCATGCATGGACATCGTCTTGTGCATAGTGGATGTTGTGTTGTGCATGGTCTACCTAACAAGTCATTTTTGTTAAGCTTAGGCTAATGAAATATTCAAAATGCATGAATTTTTTGTTGAGCATGTGTGAACATAGTCTAGTGCATAGTGGATATTGTGTTGTGTATGGTCTGCCTAATCATTTTTGTTAGAGCCTTGGCCAGTGAAATACTCAAAATGCATGGACTTTCTGTTAAGCATGTGTGGACATCGTTTTGTGCTAGTGAATGTTGTGTTGTGTATGATCTGCCTAACTAATCATTTATTAAGCCTAGGCTAATGAAATATTCGAAATGTATGAATTTTTTGTTGAGCATACGTGAACATAATCTAGTGCATAGTGGATGTTGTGTTGTGTATGGTCTGCCTAGTCATTTTTGTTAGAGCCTAGGCTAGCGAAATACTTGAAATGTATGAACTTTCTGTTGAGCATGTGTGGACATCGTCTTGTGCATAGTGCATGTTGTGTTATGCATGTTCTGCCTAACTAATTTTGTTGAGCCTAGGCTAATGAAATATTCAAAATGCATAGATTTTTTGTTGAGCATGTGTGAACATAGTCTGGTGCATAGTGAATGTTGTGTTGTGCATGGTCTGCCTAGTCATTTTTGTTAAAGCTTAGGCTAGTAAAATACTCAAAATGCATGAACTTTCTGTTGAGCATGTGTGGATATCGTCTTGTATATAGTGGATGTTATGTCGTGCATGATTTATTCCGTTGCTTCGAGGTTCACACAGGTTCTAAATTCAAATTAAACAAAGTCAAAATAGCATTTTTGCTTTAAAAAAAAATATTGCAATTGGGGCCCTAAGGCCTGCAGAGCAATTTTAGAATGATTTAGGCCCTCAGTGCAATGAACTTTGTTTTTAAGGCCTTTAATGCCATTCTCCCAACATTTAATCTACTATCCAAAAATCATAAATATTTTTAATAATCTAAATTGAATGGTCTAAATTTAAATGATACAACAAAGAGTAACATTGGACTAAATCAAGATAGAATCTAAACTTGAAAGAATATGAGTTTTAAGGTCAAGGATCGAGTTTGCTTTTCTATAGCCATCCATCTTCCAAAACAGTCTCGTATTAAGTTTTTTGTTATAAGTTAAGGTGGATTCAGGAAGATATTCTAACTCTTCTACGCAACTTTATGATGGTATATGTTGTATAATTTTTTAGAGATAATACAACTTTTAATCTTTAAGCTTGTTTTAGTTATTAATGTGGTCCTTTAAATTTAATTTTTATCAATATGATCTCTTAAGTTTATTTTTGGTTATCAATGAGGTAACGTAAATCGTTAATATTTGCAAACATAAATAACAAAATATTAATGAAAACTATATAGATTAACAAAAAAAAGTATAATTATTTAGGTAAGAAAAAATAAACTCTGAAATTTACAAAAAAAAAACAATGGAATAACACTCATTGTAAGAGATTATACTAAAAAAATTAATTGATTTGAGGGTTAATTTTTTATCTAGCTATATATACATATCGAATCATTAATATATGTACTTTACATATTAGATTATTTTGAGAGTCAATTTGTGTTTTAAAACTTAAAAGACTCATACTAATTTGAGAAAATATAAAGGACCAAATCAATTAAAATTAATTAAATTTGAGAGATTAAAATTTTTATTATCTTTTTTATTTTAATGAAATTTGGCTTTTATCGGAAATAAAAGGTCAATGTCATTAGTAAGAATTTGAATTTGTAAATACATTGTAAAACGTGAACTCTTGTTTTCAATTTGGTAACTGCTTGTTCACCTACATTTTCATAAATTAGAATACAATAACTGTGTTTCTATAAGATTTAGACCATTTTTATACTTGGAATGATGAGAATGTGATAAAAAAAATATAAAAATTAAAGGGTTAAGGACTATTTTTACCCTTAAACTTTATCGAGGAGCAATCTTATCCTTGTAGTAATAAGTGAGGCAATTTTATCTTTAAATTATT